AGCCACGTTACTGTTGGTGGATATGTGGATGGACATAAGCGAGTACTAACTGTAGATACGGGCGCATCACATTCCATCAATCGATCTGATTTGGTCACTAAAGCAGTGCGGCCATTACCTGGAGCAAGGTTAAGGACAGCAACTGGTGAGGACACCCAAGTTGTAGGTATGTTACCTACATGCAAAGGCGCAATCGGGAATGTGACGTTGTTACACAAGTTCATAAGTTCAAGTTCACAAGTCATAATTGGAGTAGACTTCTTATTTGATCAAGGTATGCAGATCGACATGGAGAACAGGATCATGACGTATAACAACATGGAAGTGCCCGTAAGCTATTATGGCCCGTACAGCAGCAAGCGAGAGATCCTCGAGGAAAGCGAACAGATTCCACCAAAGTCAGAAGCAGTTGTTGGGGCAAAGATCGATGGAGATTGTGGGACAAACAAATTGTGGATTGTTGAAGCAACACAGAATTCTTCACCGGATGTACTTATTGACTAAGACGCAAAACGATGGACGCATCCCAGTTCAAATCACCAATCAAACTCCGAAGAGGAACTGTACTGGGGCAATGTCGAGAGGTAAGAGACAATCTTACACTGCGAAAAGTTACCTGAAAGCGATTCCATTGGCGAAAATGACATAGTGGAAGACATCAATACATGGACGAAAGGGTTGGAATGAAAATACCAGCACAAGGCTAAGGAACTTCTCCGCAGATACTCTAGCATATTGGACAAGGATGATAACAAACCAGGCAGAACTAACGTTGTAAAACATCGCACTGTACTGGTGATGCAAGGCCGATCCGCCAAGCTCCTCGAAGTATTCCACTTGCCAAACGTGACGTTAGCCAGATCATAAAAGAAATGAGCGAGAGTGTTGTGATTGAATCATCAGCGAGTCCATGGAGTTCGTCGGTAGTACTTGTGAAGTTGAAGGATGGTCAAATGCGGTTCTGCGCAGGCTACCGGAAACAGATATCCACTTCTCAGGATCGATAATACTCTGGACTCGTTGACTGGAACAAAGTGGCTCTCAACACTCGACCTTAAGAGCGGTTATTGGCAAGTGAAGAGGACAAGGGGAAGACAGCTTTCAGCATTGGAGATCGTCCTTGGCAATTCACGGTGATGCCCTTTGGATTATGCAACGCTCGTGCCACTTTTGAAAGACTTATGGACCATGTGCTTAAGGGACTGCATTGGGAAACATGGAGCTACGTCCTAAAGAGTGGTAACAGTTCAAGAAGGATGTGAACTACTTAGGGCACAAAGTGACAACGGAGGGCATCTGCACTACAAATGAAAAGATATAAACAGTAAAGGATTGGCGAAGACCTAGGAACGTGCACGAACTACGAAGTTTTCTTTGGTTATGCACCTACTACCGTCGATTTGTTCCAAATTTCGCCAGCGTTGCTAATAGCCTTCATGAGCTCATTAGGAAAAATAGAGCCTTCGAGTGGGGAGGCGTTCCAAACTCTGAAGGAATGGCTATGTACTGCACCTAAGCTAGCGTATCCCGTTCCAAGTGCAACATTTATTTGGATACGGATGCTAGTGGTTATGGCATAGGAAACTACTGCGTTACTCGGAGAGAACAACTAGCGTTGGTGGAGTGCGTCAAACATTTCCACAAGTACCTCTATGGGCAATGTTTCTGAATTCGAACGGCTACTACAGTTCAAGAATCCAGAAGGACAGCTATGTCGATGGATTGAGAGACTGCAAAGTTACAGCTTCGCTATTGAACACCGCAAGAGAAGTGTCCACGGAATTGCTGATGCTATGTCCCGACGACCATGTAGCTTGGAATGTGAGCACTGTTCGAAAGCTCAGGCCAAAGAAGTCATCATAGAGTGGAAGGAAGAACAGCTACGAAAGTGTCAGCAGGATAATCCAGATCTAGAGCTTTTAATACATAGACTGGAGATGGGCAGACGGCCAACTAATGAGCAAATGTTAGCGGAGAGCCCCATAACAAAGGCATACTGGGCCCAACGGAACAGCTTGAAGTTGATATCTGGCTGGTTGCATATGGCATGGGAAAGGGAAAATGGCCAGTGCTCCCGCAATTTAATAGTAGTTCCGAGTGTAAGAGTTTCGGACGTTCTCAAGGTATTCCAAAATAGTACCAACGGAGGGCACCTGCGAATCACGAAGACCCTGGAGGTGATCAAGCAAAGGTTCTATTGGGTTGGTTGTCGGCAATTGGTCGCAGAGTGGATTGCGAACTGCGCGGAGTAAATTGCAGCTAAAGGGCCGAAATCTAGAAGTCATGGCCAGATGAAGCAGTATAACTCAGTTTCACCACTCGAGTGGAATGCTATGGATGTAACAGGCCCATTTCCCATGAGCTCACTGGGAAACAAATACGTCCTTTGTATGGACTACTTTAGCACATGGGCGGTGGTATACCCGATTCCAAACCAGGAAGCTAAAACAGTAGCGGAGGTATTCATCTACAATTGGTTTGCGAGATACGGAGTACTTATAGAGCTACACTCTGACTAAGGACGAAATTTTGAATCGGCGGTATTCCAATCGATCTGCCAGAAACTGGATATTCGGAAAATTCGAAAAACGGCTCTTTATCCCCAATCAGATGGCATGGTGGAACGATTCAGCCGAAATATTGGGTTGTCCACATACCCTTTAGAAAGAGACGTCCAACATCCTGGAAGAGGGGCTGAGAGAAATACGTGCTCTTGTGGGACAGCGTACTTTAGGTTTTAATGCATTTAAATTTCTTTTGTTTGAATTTATTTTATATTTGAACATATCCACCTAATTTCTCTAGTGTTTTGAATCGTGGATATGCCACTGCATACTTTTCAATCTAAAAACGTCTTGACCCTAGTAAACAGTTGTTTGTGAGACACGGCGTAGTCGAACTAGCATTGCAAGAACTCATGAAATGATGGCGAAATTCATGGATAATTTTCGTGAGGAATTGAATTCATGAAATTTGCTTTATGCAGCCAATTTTTACCTAAATGATTTTATGACTTCACCTACGTATAAACGTAGTATAATAAAGGCGCAAACAGTCAACGACGTAGCGTAAACGTACGTAGCATCGTATAAATTCACTGATAGAGAGAGAGAGAGAGAGAGAGAGAGATACGGCAACGTCGCCGGTATGCGGTGATATGTTTTCGTAACACCCGATTTACATGATTCAAGTACTTGAAAGCAATTGTTGCTCATTCTCTTTTGTGTTTTCTATTTGCTTTTACACGTTTCAATTCTGTTGAATTCAAGTTTTGGTTCTTTAAATTGGAAGCAACGAAAATGCCAAAAGCAAAGCAAGAAAGTTGAAACCACTTGACGGTACTAGTCCCTTTTCTTCTCACCCCCTCTCTTCCACATGCAAGCAGAATTAAGTTCAATACTTGAACTGTGTAAAAGCAGTCTTAACACGCGAATCCCATAAAGGTAAAATTAGTCAAGAGCGCAGAACTTATACTTAAGCTGAATATAGTCAAGAACGCAGAACGTATACTTAACCGCAGTCTGTATACGCAGAATTTTGTTGATTACTAGAGCCCTCAGTGTTGCTTACTACAGTGTTGCCACTCATTAATGCCTTTTCATAAACTTACCTTTTTAACTAAAATTTTTCGTGCTATAAAAGATCACAGCTAAATAAAAACAAGTAGTAGTTTTCAACAAAAATCTTATTCAATAGAGAATAGGAAATTATAACTTACTTACCATCTGCAAAACTGACGAAGTGGCAACCATCTATAGAAGGAAGAAATCACCTGACACGAAAAAATCTAAATTCCGCAGATTTCTGCGCTACGGGGTACAACTACAGAAAAATTCTTCGGTGTTGAGTTTTCATTTACATAGCGCTGTCGTAAGAGAGATCGTGTCAGCTGACTCGGGTTTACGTACTGGTAGGTTTACGTTCTCGACTAATTTCAGCTTTAAACGCAGTCTGTATACGCAGAATTTTGTCGATTACTGGAGTGTTGCTTACTACAGTGTTGCCACTCATCAATGCCTTTTCATGAAATTCCTATTCAACTTAAATTTTTCGTCTTATAATAGATCGTAGCTACATTTAAACTACTTAGTTTTCAACAAAAAACCTTTTTCAATAGTAAATTTCAAATATTTTAAACGTATTTTGAAGAGGAACTTATGACTTTTTTACCATCTGCAAAACTGACGAAGTGGCAACCATCTATAGAAGGATGAAATCAGCTGACGCGGAAAAATCTAAATTCCGCAGATTTCTGCGCTATGGGCTGGTAAAGGTGTTCTTACACGATGTGTATTTGCATGTGTACATGTCGCATGCCAGCATATCGTGTAAAGGCAAAGAATATTTGTTTCTGTACAAAGCAGATGCACGTACATATGAAATAGATGTGTTTCTATTTTTATCTGACACACATCATCACAGTTTAGTTTAATTCGTTTTCAAAGAACGTATTTTTAAATAGTTAAATAAAGATTGTGAATTTGACAGACATACTGTGAATTTGACAGACGCATGCAATTACATATGTATTGAAAAAGTCACATTTACAGATGCAAATACATATCGTGTAAGAACACCTTAAGACAGATCGTGTCAGCTGACTCGGGTTTACGTATCGGTAGGTTTACGTTCTTGCCTAATTTCAGCTTAAGTTAGATCGTGTCTGCGTCAACCTACCACTACGCTACGTCGTATACTTAGTTTTTATTCTTTACTTCTGAAAGATATTTTAATTCTCTAACTTTTGATGTATCCACTATTGTAAAAAGTTAGGTAATAACGAAGATATTGTTCAAAATAAAAAGCTCACGCTCGCATTGAACTGTATAGCAGGCTTTACGCAATTGTCAGTTTCATACCTCTCCGGCACATACGGCAACGGGTCTGCTCTGATGGCCACATTAGATTGTACATAAAACCCTAACAAAACTTTTATCGAACTATCTGGCAACGTAAAAACCAAATAAATTTTCTCCGTCGCTTTTTATTAATGTGCTAAAATATTTTTTGATTAGTTTTTGCAGCTCACAATAAAAGAAAAACAAGTATTCCAGAAATAAATAAAAAGTATTTAACAAAAGGAATAGATTTTGTTGGGAGTACCTACGAAGTAGGTATGTGTTTTGTGTGAAAACGATTAAACAAACTCATCAAGTGAAATGGATGCTGTTGTCTTGCACTCGGACATTGCACGTCTTGTGCTAGGTAAGACTTTTAAAATACGCACCTGGGGGCTCCGCGATTACAAACATTCATTTTCCCTCCCTTTTGATGTGATAGGCTATTTGAAGCGACAAAATTTAGAACGCACATCCCGTTTGTTTTGCAAAACTTCACCGCATCTGAAACAGGAATTTTCAGCCTATAGAAAAGGCTATACCCCACATACCTTCGGGCCCGATTTGGAGGATATAATTTGTGAATATGTAAATATTACATGTACAGGTAAGTACAGTCCTATTTACAAAATTGCNTGCGTCAACCTACCACTACGCTACGTCGTATACTTAGTTTTTATTCTTTAGTTCTGAAAGATATTTTAATTCTCTATCTTTTGATGTATCCACTATTGTAAAAAGTTAGGTAATAGCGAAGATATTGTTCAAAATAAAAAGCTCACGCTCTCATTGAACTGTATAGCAGGCTTTACGCAACTGTCAGTTTCATACCTCTCCGGCACATACGGCAACAAGTCTCCTCTGATGGCCACTTTAGATTGTACATAAAACCCTAACAAAACTTTTATCGAACTATCTGGCAACGTAAAAACCAAATAAATTTTCTCCGTCGCTTTTTACAATGTGCTAAAATCTTTTTTGATTAGTTTTTGCAGCTCACAATAAAAGAAAAACAAGTATTTCAGAAATAAATAGAAAGTATTTAACAAAAGGAAAATATTTTGTTGGGAGTAGGTATGTGTTCTGTGTGAAAACGATTAAACAAACTCATCAAGTGAAATGGATGCTGTTGTCTTGCACTCGGACATTGCGCGTCTTGTGCTAGGTAAGACTTTTCAAATACGCACCTGGGGGCTCCGCGATTACAAACATTCATTTTCCCTCCCTTTTGATGTGATAGGCTATTTGAAGCGACAAAATTTAGAACGCACTTCCCGTTTGTTTTGCAAAACTTCACCGCATCTGAAACAGGAATTTTCAGCCTATAGAAAAGGCTATACGCCACATACCTTCGGACCCGATTTGGAGGATATCATTTGTGAATATGTAAATATTACATGTACAGGTAAGTACAGTCCTATTTACAAAATTGTATAATGTGATAATGCAATCAAATACTAATTGGGATTTAATTATTGCAGTTGATCGGCTTGTGTCGTCCTTACCAAGCAGCCTGCGTTTTCAATTGTTCGAACGCAAGCTTTCAGAAAAAGTTAATTTACTGCTCGAGCGGGCTTTAGATTCTTTTTTGAAAGCCGAGCAAAGCGAAAGCAGTGCACTTAAAAAAAGCGATGTCAAACGTAGTTCCGCGGCCAGCACGAGTGTGCCATCGGATAAAGAGAACACAACTAAAAAGCAAAATAAACAAAAAAGGAAGCGGTTAGCGTTAATAAACAAAAAAATTTCGAATTTATATTTAAATAACATATTTATCTTCAGCACATGTTTAATATACTCGTCAGATGAGCGTAAAAGTCCCGTCTCCTTGCAAAACAAATTGACGAAAAGACGCCGCATATTAGAACCATTTTGCTACCTTAGTGCGAAGCAAAAACATAATTTGCAACGCCTTCAAAAGGAGTCAGCATCCTCAACTGGCGATGAACAAACGCAGACTGATGATGGCGTTGAAGACGAGAGTGCCGATGAAGAGGATGCAGAAGTGCTTGATAACGAATCAGATCTATCGATTAGGGAAAAGCCTACCCAGGAGTCAACGCCACGCAATATATCGGTAAAAGGAAAATTTCTAACACCATCTGTGCCGGTAATAACAATAATTTCTTTTAAAAATGTATCTATACCTATGTAAACTTATTGTACACCCACAGGATCTGTCTCAAGCTATATTAGATAACCCGCATTTTCAAATGAAGCTAGTGGATAATATCAATCAAGCACTCAGCAGTTCCGTAAATCCTGATGGGCAAGCAATTTTATCCAACATTAACAGCACAGCTGCTAATATACAAACAAACACTGATACGCTATCGGAGGAGCAGCAAATTATTAATTCAAATGAAATGTTAGATCAAATGGTCCAGGATATATTAAAGGCTACCGAGAAAGATCCTGCATTCGATGCAATTATTGAAAACGTCGTTGGTGGTAAGAATTGAATAAATTTGAAACTCGGCATATATTATCACATATTTTATAGCGTCCGTACAATCGACCAATGTTTCGGCAGGCGTACAATGCCATATCGATAGTAATCAACTACAATCGCAGCTAGGCTTGCCAACTGTACCTCCTCTGTTAGGACAACAACAACAACAGCTTTTTACTCTTGTGCAACAACAACCGCAGCAATCTTTGAATGTGCCCTGCTTAGCTGCCATATCGCACGAGACTGCAGCTTCGACTACGACTCCACGTACACCGCTTCTTATACGTACTGCCGTAGCAGCGGCTAGCACCTCGCATAGCGGTGGTGGCGATGCCAGTGCCGGAGAATCGCAAGTGCTATCCGCGCTAACCTCAAATAATTCGTTTGGTTCGTTGATCGATCCAAATTTTTCCATATCAAAGTTGATAGTTTTGAATCCGAATGACGGCGCACAGAAGCCATCCTCTGCTGATCAAAGTATTGGAAATACCACTGCTGATCAGTTAATTACCCAACTGACTAGTAGTGGAGCTGAGGCGACTGGAGACGAACAGGTATTAAGCGTGTTAACCAGAAAAAGGTGATGAGAAAATATGTGCTTTACCTTTTTTTATTATTTGAAACAGGTTTTCTTCGATGCTAACACAGGTCAATTAACAATTCCATTATTCCTTACCGACGAGGGGTTGCTGGCCAATTTCCCATTTCTTGTCAATAATGAGGCAGTAACACAACAACTTCAAACAGACAACATCTGTAACATGGATGGCTCTCGTATTGAAATCCCTCTGCCGGAACCCATTATAGTATCAGCAGACCAGTTACCACCAAATTCTATTATCGTGACAAGTGCTCAGAAAGCAATCACCGTAGAAGAGCAACGCTTGCCAGGCGCACAACAACCGCCCCGCACTGTCTGCAAGAAAACTATGGATGGGCCAGCGCCCTCCTCGTTAAACGTGCGTTCAAACGCGGATGGTGAAACGCCCTCCACAAGTGGTATAGTTAATTCAAAAGCGTACAAAAGCCTGTCAACGCCTCGTAAGCGCACATCGCATGTACGTACACTTTCGTTTTCTCCGAAGGTGGAGGGCAATAGGATAGCTGCGAAAGCTGGTGCCACACCACTTTCTACAAGGCGTGATGCTGTAGCTTCTACTACAGCACTCTTAGAAGACGGGGAAGTACCAGAAAACTTCTCGGTTGTACCAGAAAAACCTATAATAAAAAATGTGGAGATATTACCACGCCTAGACGGCACAATCGATGTGAGCGCCAATGAGAGCAGCAATAGCTGCAGCGTACCTCCCTTGTTTGTAACAGAGGAGAGCAGCAACCAGACCGTCATTAAAACGGAGCTATCCCTCAAAGAAAGTAAAGAAGTTTCTCTGGCGGTTCAACCTAAGGCAACTGCTACTTCGAAATCGACTATCGCTGATCACCCGGACACACCAAAGCGCAAGCAGGTTCGTAGGTCGGCAGTGCGCGCTTGTAAGCGCCGGCTTTCAAAGTCCTCGGATGAGCTAAAGTTGGTAACCAAAAATCAAACAGAGAAGATTGAACCTATAGAATCAGTCACTGAGGGCAAGGAGCAAACTATCGATCAGAGAAAATTAAATGATGACAAAATGATGGAAGAATGGTTACGCTTACGAAATGCTAGTACTAGCGACCTCGATTCTCGTTTGCGTCAGTTAAACGCTGAACAAAACGCGTCAATACCCAAGTCTGCGCGTAGAGTAAGGTCTACCCCAGCAAAAAAGCGCAAGTTGAGGCAAAAAAAGGCCGTTGTTTCAAAACGTAGGCGAAAAAAGGCGGCAGCACTTGCTTTGCTAGATCACGAAAGGAAAATTAGTTTGAATGCCAGTGTGGAAGTTGACGAAAGTAAAGAGGACAATGAAAGTGACCAACTGCCAGTAGAGGAAGCTGTAATCAAGGAAAAAGATATTAAATCAAAGAGAACTCGCGAGAAAAAGCGCACGGTTAAGGACAGATCCATGGAGTTCAATATTAAAATTCCGACGCCACAAAAAGATAAACGTGAATCCTTGTTGAAAATGAGAAGTGAACGCACGACCAGCGACACCGATGAATTGGCAACACATCCGCCCGCTGATGCTGCTGATAGCCCAACGCTGCAAAATCGGACTGAACGAACGGAACAGTGCAAACCAACTGTGCAAAGGACTGAAAATCGCTTGGAACACGAACGCGATCGCCGCACAGCCAATATTGCTTGCTTGCTAGAAACGCCGTTTAAGGCGCCTACAACATTGGGTGAGGTACCGCCGACGCCTGGCATGCCGGTGCCCATTTTAGACACACCTGCATCGAAATTAGGGGATATTCCTCTTTCAACGTCATATCTTTTTGGTTCCTTAACAAAAAGCGAACTAGAAACACCCCAATTGAGCGCAATAACGCCCGGAATCCGTTTCACACCTTTCGGTTCANGACGAAAGTAAAGAGGGCAATGAAAGTGACCAACTGCCAGTAGAGGAAGCTGTAATCAAGGAAAAAGATATTAAATCAAAGAGAACTCGCGAGAAAAAGCGCACGGTTAAGGACAGATCCATGGAGTTCAATATTAAAATTCCGACGCCACAAAAAGATAAACGTGAATCCTTGTTGAAAATGAGAAGTGAACGTACGGACAGCGACACCGATGAATTGGCAACACATCCGCCTGCTGATGCTGCTGATAGCCCAACGCTGCAAAATCGGACTGAACGAAANAGAAGTGAACGCACGACCAGCGACACCGATGAATTGGCAACACATCCGCCCGCTGATGCTGCTGATAGCCCAACGCTGCAAAATCGGACTGAACGAACGGAACAGTGCAAACCAACTGTGCAAAGGACTGAAAATCGCTTGGAACACGAACGCGATCGCCGCACAGCCAATATTGCTTGCTTGCTAGAAACGCCGTTTAAGGCGCCTACAACATTGGGTGAGGTACCGCCGACGCCTGGCATGCCGGTGCCCATTTTAGACACACCTGCATCGAAATTAGGGGATATTCCTCTTTCAACGTCATATCTTTTTGGTTCCTTAACAAAAAGCGAACTAGAAACACCCCAATTGAGCGCAATAACGCCCGGAATCCGTTTCACACCTTTCGGTTCAAGTCGGGATGTGACACCACGCAGCGTTGCGCCTGCGACTGATTACTCCTCCGGTGGCTCGTACTATAAACCTGATGAATCCGATGATTTGGACCGAAAATTCGACAAACTTCTAAAAGACTCAGCGCAAAAGCAGAAGCAAAAAGAAGAGGAAAAGCAATCCCATGCAGCAGAGGTTAAAAATTTACTATTCGAAGACCAAAGGGAGACGACAGAACTGCACATGGAGCAAAAACAGGACGCCATTTGCGTTGAAATACCCGCTGAGAAGCTAAGAGTTGAACCGATAGTACTGAAACGTGTAAAATCATTTGGTGCCGAAGGCACGGAAGATGGCGAAGGCGCGACAGCGTCTATAAATATCGATCCACATTACATGCTCGCCTCTGAATTGCCTGAAATTTGCGCCGAAGAAGAGTCGTCAAATTCATCTAGCACATTTTCGAGCTCGTCCTCTTCGTCCTCATCGAACNGCGAGAGAAAGGTAAGAGTCAACCAACAAAGTCTCCATTATCTGCAGCCACATCAACAACGCTGGAGCCACATCTCGTCCAGGAGGAGAAACGTACCATGGAAGTGCTGACAGCGCTGCAATTGTCTGCGAGGAAGTCTCAGCAAACAAGGGTGAGTGAGCCGAAGACGCGAACATCTGCTATAGCACCGCTGATAAGTGCCCTAGACGATAATGCAACATCAACGCTCTTTTCAAGCGCCACAACATCCTCATCTATAACAACAACATATGAATTAACAGAGAAATCTGACCGTTTGCCGTTGAAGACACTGATTTCGAAGGTGAAAGCCAAGCAACGGCAATGCTTGCGAATTGAAGCATTACCGGTATTGAAGTCAACACGCTCTTCGGGAGCTGGGCGCAAGAAAATTGTACGTAATCCACTTGGCTTCAAGGGCACAACAGCAGGAGAGGCGGTTGAAATAGCAGGGCGAATCGACGAAGTGAAGTCGCCTCGTAAGTTGGCAGAGAAGGTCAGAGATGATAGCGATGGAAGCCCAGAAGACACGCGTGCTGGTATTAGTCCGGTGCCAAAAATAAAAATTAAAACAACAACAACAACAACAACTGCAGCTACGAGTAGCAAAATACGTGTTTCGCCGCGCTTAAAGGGTATCAAGAATGCAAAGGCTAAGGACTGTAATGCAGACGATCTAGAAGAAGTTCAAACTAAACCAATAAAAAAACTTAAAACAACCAAAAGTATGAAGACCAGGGCTACTACGGCTAAATCATTGCTAGGAGCGCGAATTAAAATCTCGCCAGGGCGGCCAAGAATAACGAAAAGTCAAGAGGCAACGCAAAATATGCAATGTGAAGCAGCGAGGCTTGCAATCGAACAAGCGCCGCATGAAGACACGGTCCCAATCCAAAAACCAGTTGACGCGGAAGTTCCAAAAACAGCCTCAGCGCAAAAAAAGGTGCCTGCTAAGGAGACTGTAGTTAATACCCAAAACGGTGATAAAACAGAGAACGAGAAAAAGAGCGCTGCTGATATAGCCGAAGAAGGAAAGCAGTCGGGAAAAACAACTAAAACATCCAAAACACCATTTGAATCCATGAAATTGGCCAAGGATGCTGAACAAGCTAAAACTAACACAGACGTTCCCAAAGCCAAGGAAGTTGCGGATCAGACTGAGGCATCTAAGACAAAGCCAACTAAACCCAATAAACATTTGCCAGATGAAAAATCAGTCGCACCAGAAAACACAGAAAAAAGTGCTGCGGTTAAAAAGGGAGATATGCCAAAACCTAAAAGGATGACCACAGAAAGCGATAGTCGAGCCGCTGATATTCTAAAGGCAAAATTAACTAAGCCCGAAATCCAACCAATCCAAAAAGCTGAGTCCGCTGATAAGCAAAAATGGGCTGTCCAAAAAGGAAATATCGAAGCGCAGCAGAAATCAACTGCGCCGAAAACGAGAGAGACTGTGC